GGGGTTTGAACTCAGGGCCTACACCTTGAGTCACTCCACCAGCCTTTTGTGATAGATTTTTTTTAAGATAGGGTCTCTCAAACTACTTGCCTGGGCTGGCTTTGAACCTTGATCCTCCTGATTTCTGCCTCCTGAGTAGCTAGGATTATAGGTGTGAGCCACTGGTACCCAGCTGGGGGCTTCTGCTCTTGACTATACAAAGCTGGTCACAATGACCTTGGTCCTAGGTTCCATGGCCAGTTTGCTGCATTTGATATTGTCAATTGCTCCCTCCAAAGGCGTGAAACACAAAGACTCCCTTGCCTCTTGCTCTGTAGTACCGTGTTTGTCTGTTTCTCTGTCCATTTTCCAGGCAATTCAGAATCCTTGTCCTTTGTCCCTCAGTTGTCTGCTTTTCCCATTCTCTTTTCACCCATCATAGATTTCTCGGGATTGTCTCACTCCCTGTCATGGCATCAATTAGAGTCACATGATTTTCAAATCTTAATTTCTAGTTCTGGACTCACATACTCAATTGTCCTTTAGACACTTCCACTTGCACGGGCACTTTATACCACAACCACCCAAGCACACCCATGCGCACACAGCTGCCCACACACTCCACTCGAGCACTTACAGACACGGCCCACTGCTCTTCCTCCTTGGTTCTTTGCCCCAGCAAATGGGGCTCCCATCCACCCAGTGCACAACTTCTAGAATTATTCTTGATTCTTCTTTTTCCCCTTGAACTAATCATTCACCACCTTCCAAACGCCTTCCACTTCATCCTCCTAAATGGCTCTTTGCTTTTTGAAACTCTTTTGTTTCTTTCCACCAAAAGCTGCTACCAGGCCTAGGCTTCTTCACACTGAGTCTACCCACATCCAATCTAATCTCCGTTTCCAGCCAGAGGCATCATTCCCGAATGCCACGCTGACCACTGCTCTTCCCTGCTGAAAAAAATTCCACTTCCTCTGGGACTGACTCTTCCACTCTCCAAGAGAAGATGAGGTGCTCCCCCCATGATAACTAAGCAGGTTCTAGCATGTTCTATTGTAATGATTTATCTGAACCCCCCAATAGGCAAAGCTCTTTACTTTGTTCAATTTGTGGATATTTATTGGCACCTTCCCCTGCATCACGTACAGTGCTGTGAATCAATCATACACTGTCCTTGCCCCAGGAGTGCCACTCACAGACTTGTCATCCTCCTACCCATGCCAGCACCATTCCTGCCACATTTATTTGCTGAATAAATAAATGATCAAATGAGTGTGTAGTGTTGTCTGCTAAAGACTAATTTATCACCCCTAGCCCTTTCTAGTCTTAGGATAAAATTCATGGGAACCGATTTTAGAAAAATGACCTTCATGGTCAATATTTATAGAAAGTGTATTTTTTATTCCAAAAGGCAGACATAAGTTATATCAAAATAGTTTTAGGCTTTTCAGAACTCTTTAAGCAACTCACATCTCCTTATGAAAATTATGCTGGTAGCAAAATTAACAAAATCAGTCAAGCTTCTAAGGAACTGAGCACATAAATTAAAGACATCCAATGGAGTCCAATTATAAAGGAACACATTTTATATGAACTTCACACTAGCACCTGCTCAGCTGCCATGGCTGAGCTAGGGGGAGGTAGCCCTTGGTGACCTTGGGGCATGACACTCACAGGTGGAGGTGAGGACTCTTAAGCTCAGGTAGCCAGTGAGGATGTCCTCTTCCAATTCTTGAGACATCATTTCAAAATGTAATGTGGAGCCTCAGATGACAACCCTGGTTTTCGGAAGCTCACAGTACGTAAACACTGTAGTCCTGACTGGATCATTCGTACTTTGTTGTGGTAAAAACTTACCACCAAATCCTTTTGAAGACTACAGTTGAGTGCATTAAGTACACTCACACTGTCATGAAGCCATCACACCATCCGTCTCTAGGACTTGTTGATCTTCCTAAACTGAAACTCCTCCCCCTGGTCCCTGGCACCCATCACTCTACTTTCTGACTCTGTGAATTTGACAACTCTAGGGACCTCTTATAGTGCAATCATACAGTATTTGTTCTTTTGTGTGTGGCTTAGTTCACTCAGCACAACATCCTCCAGGCTCACCCATGCTGCAGCATGTGTCACCATGTCCTTCCATTGTATGGCTGACTAATATTCCACCGTGTGCATACACCACACCTTGTTTGTCTATTCATGACATTTGGAGGATTGATCTCTCGCCTTAGTCACTCAGCTTCCAGCTGTGAGTTGGGGATAGGGGATGGGCTCCATGCTGATGGCAGAGTATGAGACATAGCTGAGGACACCTCCCAACACTACTGGATCTTGCTGATCTTGACTAAGGGCTTCGCAGCTGTGTGAGGCACAGTTACATCATAACCAGTGGAGAACACGGCTTTCTGGCCACATATGAGGGGAAGAATTGGCATCATCTGGGCAGCGCTCCTTGGACTCTTTTATTTAAGCTGGGGAAGGCTCTGGGCTGGTCACAACACAGGAGCATGAGACCTCTGCGTCTGTGTCTGCATCACCACTTCAAATAACCCAAAGCCAAGATAATCCTTTTCCCTCCAACCAGTATCTCTTCTGAAATGGGTTACTTGTCAATTATTACAGTGTGTGGGAAAGAAACCAGTATAGGGACGTTTTTTGTCTTTTTTTTTTACATCTCTGATGGTGTTTTCCTTCCCTGCCCCAATTCTGGTCCTTCTGCTCTGTCATGTGTTACAGGGTCATCTGTCCCAGCTTTCCTTGCCTCCTGGCTTGGGCAGGTCTATCAGGATTCCTGTCTGTCTGCCTCAAAAGGCACCTTTGGCCAGTGTCTGTGAGTCCTCCCCAGTGCTACTGTCCACTGGGCAGTCATGTAGGCAGATCCAGCTCCTGCCAGATGGGCTCTTGCAACACAACTCCCCTCTTCCTGTCTCTTAGCCTTCGGATAGGTGACCCCCATCCACTTCTGAGGTCCTTTTGTTCTATTACCTGTATAAGACATGTGTGCTAAAAGCACAGGAAAAAGACCTTTCTAGATCTTTTTCTTATTCACACCCCAGAAAGTGGATGGACCCCCCCCCACTCCTGAAGCTCTGGACTGAGCCCTGGACACCACACTGCTGCTTCCCAGATGTCTTACAGTTTCTGTCACACCCGCCCTCCTCAGAGACGTCCCCATGCCTGGCCATACTATGCAGCCTCTTCCTTCCCCATCACATTCATTCCCAGGCTTAAGATGTGACCACTTTTCTAAACCCTTACCATTACTCAAGCTCAGCCCTTCACTCAGCTGGTATTGCTGCTCTGAGCCCTCACCACCTGCACCTCTCCTCCCCGCCTCCTGCACTGTGACCCTGCAGTTTCACTCAGCATCCCACTACGTGCTTCCCACTCTTACACAGGTCACCTGAGTACTTCTGTGTTGCCAGCAAGACTGTAGGCACTGGAAGGCAGAAACAATACCATTTAACCCTTGCCACTTAAATAAATACTTGACTAAATGTGACTTTAATAAAACTATGTTGAATGATCAGATAGAAAGGGGTGCTCTCTGCCTGGCACAAACATCTTCTCCCAAAAGATAACAACTGTTATGGGTTGGACTGTGTGCCTTGAGAACATGTGCTGGCATTTTAACCCCCAGTAACTGTGAATAGCACTGCACTTGGAAATAAGGCCTTTGCGGATGTAATTAGATTAAAATGAGGCCATTAGGGTGGGCTAGAATCCAATGTGACTGGTGTCCTTCTTGGAAGAGGGGAATTTGGACACAAGCAGACACAGAGGGAAGAAGGCCCTGGGGATTGGAGGTAGGGGCTGGAGTGAAGCTGCCACAAACCAGGAAACATGTGGGCTGCCAGAAGCTGGGAAGGCAAAGACCGGTATAGAGTACCATAGAGAGCCCAAACCTTGTTTTTTAACTTCTAGCCCCCAGACCGTGTGAGACAATATATTTCTGTTGCTTTATGCCTGCAGTTGGTCACAGAGTCAGCTGTTGTATCCACAGGTTCCATGTCTGTGGTACAACTGATTGTGGATTGAAGTATTTGAAAAAAAATGGCACCTGTACTGAACGTGGCATTTGTGTTGGTATTTGAAAATGCATTGCATCAGTACTGAAAAAAGGCATTTTTTCCTTGTCATTATTCCCTGAACATGGCATTTATGTTGTATTGCTTATTGTAAGTAATCTATAGGTGATTTTAAACATATGGGAGGGTGTGAGTAGGGTCTGTGCAGACCCTGTATCAATCTATAAAGGGACTTGAGCACCCAAGAATTTTGGTGTCCTCAGAGGGTCCTGGAACCCATCCCTATGGATGTGGAGGGTTGACCACTTTGTTATGGCAGCCCCAGGGAAAGAAAGTAACACAAGGCTTGAGTGAAAAGTGTCGCTCCATGTAGGCATGTGCTCACTGGGCAAAGAGTCACATCGGGTCTCTGTGGACCTAACATGGGCTGAGCAGGCCATGGGGAGGACATGTGTTGGCATGGTGAGTGCCTGTGTATATGGAGAAGCCAGCCCCCTCCCTCACCATGCCAGGCCCATCTCAGCTAGTCCTCTGAAGGCCACAAAGACATCTGTCACCCATTCTCCTCCAAGATGCCCTTTTCAACAATGTGCCCCAGGTCAGACGATGTTGTATGTCAAGTCTTAAAACTCTACAATGCAAACCCTTCTCTCTATATATTTTTAAATCTTCTTTTGCTTTTCCTGTGATATTTTACTTTACTATCCCAGTCAAGGGTAAAGCTTCCAAAGGATGATTTTCATGAAGTGGAGGGAACAGAAAACTTGTGCTCATGTTCCAGCTGGAACAGATGTTACAACTTCCCTTTGATCTCCATTTGCCTCCATTGTGTCCCCACTGTTTTTCCCTCAGTCTGTGACTTAGGACAAAATAAGCCACAAATGCCAGCAACACCCAGCCTCAACCAGACTAACCCAGTGTGGGGAAGTGACCTCCCTGTTCTCCCACTGACACTTCAGAAATGCCCTGGGGAAAAGGGCCCAGACTTACAGTTCTCAGGGGAGCCTGGTGTGTAGGGGAGGCCAGCAGAGGCCGGGCCGGGCTCTGGAAGGCCAGGCAGAAGCGTTGGCCAGTGTCCGGTGGGGAAGAGGAGGCATAGATGCGGTTTTCTAGGCGCTCAGGCTCATGCTTGTAGGACTCCAGAGGAAACGTGTGCTGCTTGGTCACTTGGGTGGGTGTCGATGGAGAAGAGGACACGCTGGAGGCTGTGGGGAAATGACAGGACCTGTTACAAGTGCTGCCCTGAGGGAGGAGGACAGGGAAGAGCCCTTCTGCTTCCAAGTGTTAAAATCCTCTGGTGGCAAAAGGGTAATTTATTAGATTCCGAATATCAGAGAAGAGCTCTTATTTGTGGTCTCTTAGAATTGCCAGGTCTAGAAATGCCTTCACCGACCATCCTGGGGTGAGGCTGGTCCCCATCATTGTGCACAGTCCTGATGTCATTTGGGGGCAGGCCTGTCACACCCCTCCGCATGCTCTCTCTCTCCTTTCAGTCAGATACTGCTTGCTCTCCTCTCCTCCCCTTCCAAGCTGGTGCGCCAAGAGCAAATATTGTGAGATAAACGTCAGAGGAGATTTCGGGCTGGTGTGATTCCCAAAAGGGCAGCAAGAGGCTCTGTGGAAGGGTGGGTGTTGCGCAGAGGAGAGGTTGTGCTTGGGACTCTGTGTGCGTCTCATGCCAGATGGACTTGGGCAGGTGGGATGGACTTTCTCCAAACTGGCTTTTCATCCACATCAGCCAGAAAGGTAGAGAGAAGGATCAACAAAGAACACACTGTCACACACGTGGCCACTGTCTTCTCAGTGACTGTCACAGGAGAGGCTTGTGGGGCAGGTGAGAATGTTATTCTTAGATGTTTGTGTGTCTTGAATATTGGTGTCACAGTGAATAAATTAAGAGGGAAACGGGACAATGCTGCCACAATCTCCCATTACCTTTACACAGACTAATTCATTCCTTCATAGGAAATGGCCAAGCTCAAATCTTTAGGAAAGTCGGGTGAGGTGGTGCACAATTGTAATTCCAACACTTGGGAGGCTGAGGCAGAAGGGTCTCCAGTTCCAGGCCCCTCTAGAAAGCAAGTGTCTGCTCAGCCCATCAGCAGCTCTTGGTGGCACTGAGGGCTGTGTTCTGTGCAGGTGGGAGAGGGAACGTGTCTAGGTAATCTGACCAGGTTCCAACATCAAGTATGGTTGGGGGAAACAGGATAAGAACAAAACCAGAAGTAAGCCAAGTGTCAAATGCAGGTGATCCCGAAGCAGGAGCTCAGAGAGCAGCGGGCTGGGTGGCAGAGGTGGGGAGGCTCACAGAAGCACATGGAACAGCTGGGGCTGCACCCTGGAAAGCCCCACAGATCTGCCCCATGCAGGTGACTTTCCTAAAGGCCCAGACAGTGCTCGGTGGTGGCCACGGTAACCCAAGAAGTCTCTGGCTAAAGGACAGACAGGTTGGCCCATTTGGTTTTTTCTGAGAAGGAACTCCTCCCCTCCACTCCCCACCTCCAGGACTTTGTTTCAGGCTGCTGTCAGCCTCTGAGGGTGAACAATGCCTTTGATTCTCCTGGGCCAGGCCCCATGAATAGGCCCAGTGAGTGAACAGAATCTGTTCTGGCAGCCACACAGAACGCCAGGCAAGTGGCTCCAGACACCAGGGAGCCATGAGCTGGTGACTTCACAGGGCCTGGCTGGCTGTGCCACTGTGTCTGAAGAGAAAGGAGAGGAGAAAGGGAACAGAGGTGCCCTGGATGGAAATGAGTACTGGCCTACTGGACAGCCGTGCAGGGTGGAAGCAGAGGCCTGGATTTCAGAAGCCCTGAGCTCTGGGCCTAGTTTTACCACTAACTAGCCATAGGCCCTCAAGCAAACCCACCCTGTGCCTTGGTGCAAATAAGCCGGGTAGACCAGATGGCTATGCGTACACCCCATCCCCCTCCACTGTGAGAAGGGAATGGGCTGAAGCCACCAGGCTGCACTGGCCTTTAAATGTCTGAGATCTAGAATAACAAGAAAGGAAGGCAAACTTCATAGCTGACTTACTCCCAGAGGCACAGAGAAGAGCAACTTTTCAGTTTACACCCACCGGATGGGGGCTGTTTATATGACTTTTTAAAGCAATAACAACTCATTGCAGCCATGAAGAGCTGGTGTTCACAGTTTGGGGAATAGTGTTGGGGGACATAGAGAGGGTGTTGGACAAAAGTGCCAAGCCAGGGAGAGACAGGAGTCCCCACTGAGAGGAACGGTGCCACAGAGAGGCCATTGAAAGGGACGTTAAGCCGCCAGGCCATCCAAGAATCGCAAGTATTTGAAAGGGAGGCTGCAGAAACAGTCACTGAATGCATGCTTGCTCAGGACACCTCTCCAGCTGCAGTCCCTGTTGCAATTTTTCACCTCTGTTTCCCAGCTGGCCCTCTGGCCTGATTATCCTCTACTCCTCCTCACACTGCCCTCACTCCTTCATTGTCTGCCATCTCTGCCAACTGGTGTCCCAGACACTGCCCTCAGGTGCACAGTAGGGGCTCCCTGGTCCTCTGGTTCCAGCATGGCTTTTGACTAGAGGGCTACATCTATGGTTCACCACCTCCCATCCATCACCACCCACATTGGCCTTTTTCCTGTGATTCCTCAAGCCTGGGCAGTGATGGGCTCTGGCCATTGTTTGTCCCTGGTTTAAGCCTTGACCTCCCCTCCCAGTTGGCTCCTGAAACCCTGCCCTACCTCTGTGGGAAGCTTTTTCAGAATCCCAGCAGAATGCACCTGTTTCCCATCCAACAGGTAGGTCCTTCAGCCTCCGCTCCCACACCTGCCCAAGCGCTGCCCATGAGAACTGCCCCATGTGGAGGGAGGACTGAGCTCTGGAGTCCTGATATGGCCCTCAATCTACCACTCATAAGTTGCATGGCCTCAGATGAGTTAGCACCCCAGGTCTTTATTTGAAAATGGTTTTTTTGTGATGATGATGAAGAGGTAAAAAGCAAAGCACTCTAGGACACTGAGGGGCACCGCATGGACCAGACATTGCTAGATACCATTAATATCAGATGTGATCTTGGGGGAAAGACCCTGCTGGCCAGAAACCCAAGTCCACTTAGCTGTCTCTGGCTTCCTGCCTTGCTCAGGAGAGAAAGAGTGTGACGCAGCTAAATTTCAACTTGGAGCCCACCTCTGGCCAACTCCAGGCCTGTGGTCCCTCTTTCCCAGTGCCATGAGAGGTGAGAAAGAGCAGCCTCCCCTCTCTGGCAGGTTGGGGGTCTTACTCCAGACCACAACCATCATTTGGTTTCCCCACGCCACGGTCAGCCAAGATGCAGCCTGGAAGCCCTTCTAAAGGGAGGTTGAGGCCAGTGACTGGTTTTCCATCACAGAGAGTCTGGTGGTTTAAGAAATTCGAGGAGATGCAGATCACAAAGACCAGTTCCAAGTGGCACACATTTGCTTGTTCAATGGCATTTACACTAGGGTAAGTATTATATAAAATTGACAGCCTGGCCACATTAGTTACTTTTGCTTAGCTGTGACCAAAATGCCTGACAGAAACAACTTAAGGGATGAATTATTTATTTTAGCTTATGCTTTCGGAGCTATCAGTCCACAGACCTTGGATTTGTTGATTCTGGGCCATGTGCAGAACATCATGGTGGCAGAAGCATGCAGAGGACGCTGCTCATCTCATGGCAGAGAGGAAGCAGTGAAAAGGAATGCGGGAAGGGGCCAGGGAAAGAAATGGTTCCAAGGACAGGCCTCCGCCAACTCCCACCAGCTAGGCCCCACCTCCTACCTTTCACCATCTCACAACACTCCCTCATATTGAGAACCCATTAAGGGATTAATCCATTCAGAGCCTTCTTGATCTAATTGTCTATGGAAACACCCTCACAGACACACCCAAAGGTGTATTTTACTAATCTCCTAGGCATTTGTTAACCCAAGCAGGTTGACAATCAAGATTAACCATCATACTGGGTCATACTCCAGGCACAGACGACCCATGTAACATAGGACATCTTCCTACCCGGAACTTCAGACATTTTATTCTCTTTTCTTTGACCCACAATTTGGGTTGCTAGGTCACTCTTCAAGATCACTTCTCCATTGCTTGCCTTGATGGGATGCATTCCAAAAGGATCACAGCCCATCCCACCTGCCCTGTTTTACCTGCCACATCCCTCAACCCATGGAACACAGATTCTGAGAGAAGTCCATGCCCTTTGCAGTAGGAAACATTTGTCTCAGGACCTCTTTACACTCTCAAAAATATGTTATTTGTTTTATTATTATTATTTGTAAATGACAATACTTTTACATGTTCTCAGTTTTAATTTTTAATACCGTGGATGTCACTACATGTGACCAACATAAACAAAGTCCTTTGGGATCCTCAGTCACTTTCTTTCTGGGGGTAATTTCTCACCTATATATAAAATAAAATATTTAAAATAAAACAAAAGGGGGGTTGCATTTGTTTTACGCTTCTTGCAAACGTCTTTAATAATTGGCTCAATTAGAAGAGGCTAGATTCTTGTATCTGCTTCTGCATTCAACCTGTCCAAAATATGGTTTTAGTTGAAGTATATTGAAAAAAAAAATCCAGCCTCACGTAGTTGGAAAAGAGAAACTGTCAGATTCTCCAAATGAGTCTTGGGCCTGGAAGGGCTCTTGGACCTCCGTCTCAGAACTGATGGTCTACCTTGACCACGGCCACCTTCCCCTCCATTGATGGCCCTTCTAGAACCTTCTCCCTGGAGACTTCAGCTCCCTCAGCTGGGCCACATAAGGAAATACTAATCACCTCTTTGTGTTTATTTAATGAGTTGTTTTGCCTTCCTTCATATAACCATGCCCTGACACCCTTAAGGACAAGGACCAAAGCTTGTATTTGGGACCCTCCTAATGGTAGGAACAATCCGGGTTTTTTTTGTTGTTGTTGTTTTTTTCAGTTAGGACAATCCTAAGCACATCTACTGCTCATTGCTTGATTGCTCTCCCTGTGTTTGCATTTTAGCAGGGAACAAAGGCACAACAAAAGGTGGTGCCTGACAGAATTGCAAGCATAGGTCAGAGAAAGGGGTGTTTCCTCTCAGGCCTTACCAGCCCTGCCCTGCACAAATAGGATTTCTCATAGATGGAAAGGCAGAAACCTAAACATTGGCGAGTTTCTTCCCAACAGGGTTCTATGGAACACTTTCAGAGCAGTGTCTCCCCCATA